GGTGGTGTGGAAAAGCAGCACTGAGCTGGGTGTGGGCATAGCCACTGATGGCAATACGGTCTTTGTGGTTGGGCAGTACCGCCCAGCTGGTAACATTACCAATGCAGGATACTATCAGAAAAATGTCCTCCCAAAAGGAACAGGTAACACTCACACACATTTTGATGTTCTACTGCTTCTACTTATAGTACAAAGGTGAAAATTAGTAAAGTCAGTTCACATGGAAATGTCTATATGTTAGACCTAAAGTTTCTCTACACCTACCTTTTTATGTCCCAGGCTGCTTTCAATCAAAACAAAACATACTATTACTCCTACAGCTGACTCTGGACATCAGAATAACATTTGCACTGCTCACTAATATTTCCTGTTATTTCCTAGAGTAAAACTTTCCCAGTGTCAGAGAGGGAGCTGCAGCAGACAACAGACCTCAGTGCCCAGAGAAAATGACCTGGACCGTATTGGACCCATCACATGTGGTTTCCTTCAATGTTCCGAGATTGAACACCAAAAAATACGCCTGTTGCATCAAACACGATTTTACACAACTGTCTAGTCAAATACTGTCTAAGTAGAATTGGTGTTTTGATCATCATCAGTGAATAATTTTTGAGTAATGTTTCAATGATTTGAGTGCAGTACAAATAAAAACAAAAGTCTTTGTGCTTGTTGTCCCCACACGATAATAACTGAAGAATTTTTTTGAATTGAAGTTCATTTCACAAAGTAGCTCTTCCTTTTCACTCAGGGAACAACTGTACATTACAGAAATGAACAGAAACTTTGCAGTTAGCTGCTTTTAATATGGGTTAAGTCAGAAAGAAAGATTGTTGCACTATAATAACAAAATTAATTTGAACTGAGCCAATTAAAAAAAATGACTGATGATCAACAAGACATATTTAACTCTACTCAAGTTCAGTCATTTATTTACAGATTACATATTTGGTTTTTCAACTCACCTTAAGTTTAAAATTAAGTTTAATTGATTAAAACATTACATTTTCACACCACTTATATTTTACTAATTAGTGTTACATAATTCTATTTTGTCAACAGGTTCCACACAATTGAATATAGGACACCCAACATATTTTTTTAAATTTCATTTATTGCCAACACGTTTAAAACAATACAGCAGTGCCATAACTGAAACACACACC